GTCAAAACAAGAAAGGGGAAAAAAAGATAAATCTGGACTTAGTGCTTTTAAAGCCGAGTGGAGTGTGAATTATTTTGTTATCAAATTTGATGGCAAAGCACTGTTTTTATTATACAATGATATTATAACTGTGCAACAAAACATATCAACTTTACCAGACTAAATACTCATTACATTATTTCTAAGGAAACAACAGCCAGAAAATTTGGGAAAATTTAAAGGAATATCTCAAATTACATCATAACAAAATTTCTTCACAAAATAAAAAATGGAAGTGATTCTGCAACCAAATTAATTTCTTAGTAGCTCATTTATTTGTAAAGCAAGGGAAGCCATTCATTGATAGTAAGTTAATTAAATCATGCTTTTATCCAGGAAAAAAAAATAAACTGACTTAAGACTATTAGWCTTTAAACAAAAATGGTTGGGTTGCTCAAAGAGTTGAGGACATAGGATCAGTACAATAATTATAAAACAAGGCAAGTGACTGAGATTTTCTTGGTTAGAGATGAGTCAACAGAAGTTACTGCTCAGTTGTATTTTATTTGAGGAACAAATGCTGAATTTAAAGTAACTAAAAAATTAGCCCCTGTAAATAGTCTTTTGAAACAATTATGGGCAAGAATATTTTCAAAGAAATTAAGAAAACACTAATGTAATACAACCTTAAGTGAAACATACTAAGATGTGATATAAAGGTGGTAAAAATATATATGAATCAGAAAGACAAATTTACAAAGTTTATGAAAATATATGGTTATTAATTTTTTATTCATCAGCAGATATTTTGAAGAAAATATTAGAACCTATTTTATGTGTTTTTTAAAAATCTTTATTGAAATATAATTTACATACCCTGAAATTCACCCATTTAAAGTATACAATTCAGTGTGCCTTATAATTTTAAAATTTTTGCATATTCATAGTTTTCAACTATCACTACAATCCAATTATTTCAACATTTTTCCCTTCTAAAAGAAACTTTATATGCATTACCCCTCCCTACCTATTCCCAAATCCTAAGAAACCACTAATCTACTTTCTATCTCTACAAATTTGACTATTCTTTTTCAAGATTGTTTCTGCCACTCTAAGTCTCTGAGTCTCTTGCATTTCCATATAAAGTTTAAAGGATAAGCGTATAGTTTAGCACATGTGAAGTCCTAGATTCAATCTCTAGCACCACAAAAAAGAAAGAACATTTAAGATCACTTTGGTATTTTCTGAAAATATCATGTATTTTTGATCCATTAGATTTAATAGTGAGCTTCATGCTTCTGAACTCAACCACTTGAATATTTTCAAAAACAAAAGTTGGAAAGTGTGGGAGTGTAGGTCAGTGATAGAGCATGCACTTAACATGTATGAGGTCCTGGGTTCAGTCCCCCAGTCCCTCCCCCTCAAKTTGAATAGAAATAGAAAAATACTCTCACTTTCCCTACTACATATCATTTCAATGGCTTAGTAGTGACAGAGTCTTATTGCATGTATTTGAGTTCAGGGCAAAGATTGAAATTTTTGAGAATGAGAACTGCCCTTGGTCACTCATGGAACACTAAATGACTTTGAAAATGTACTTTTGTTATAGCTTGATAATGTTTCTTAAATGAATTTATTAAGAAATTATAATCAAAATTACATGACAAAACACTTATATGCAAAGTGTATACTGAGGTTAATTCATTTCAGTAACAATTTGTGTCTCAAAAATGTCAAACTGGGCTGGGGTTGTGGCTCAGTGGTACCAGCACTTGCCTAGCATGTATGAGGCCTTGGGTTCGATCCTCAGCACCACATAAATATAAATAAATAAAGGTATTGTGTCCATCTACAACTAAAAAAAATATTTTAAAAAAATGTCAAACTGCCTTATACACTTCTCCTACTGCCAAAGTTAAAAGAAGAAAGCTTATACGGGGTAAAATTGGGAGTTCATAACCCACTTGAATCAAACTGTGAAATATGATGTATTAAGAACTATGTAATGTTTTGAACAACCAACAATAAAAAAAAGAAGAAAGCTTTATTCTCACTTATATTTGCAATTGATATATTTTCAAGTTCAAATTATTACAGCACTGTCTTTCAAACTTCAAAGCAAATGCAAAGAAAATTTCTATATTTCAAGTCATTTTACTAAGTAATTAAGGAGCTTCCCTCTAACTTTTAATTAGAAGTATTAATCTGTAAGATAATGATACTGAAAGGCATATATTAAGAGAAGAATTTAAAAGAATTTTATAATGGTCTTCTAAGAGATAAATATGTTCACTTAAAATTTTAAACTCATATCAAGAAGTAACGATCTCCTGGTAATGATTTTAAAATATTGCAAATACATTTTTAAAAAATCATTGAATACACACTTTTAAGTGGTTAAGAGGGTGAATTTTATTTATGTAAATTTCATCTCAGTTAACAAAATTGAAAGCTCATAGATTAATATCAATATATTCTAGAACCTATCAGTGTGAATAATATCTTCAAAAATGAAATATGCAAAAGCTCATTACAAGAAGTTAGACTTAAAAGATGAGCATTTGCAATTGATTTTGATGATAGCAAAACAACTTGGAACCCAAATTAAGCAAAATGTTATTTTTTAAAATTCTGCTTTTTTATATATTTATTTTTTAGTTGTAGTTGAACACAATATCTTTATTTCACTTATTTATTTTCGTGTGGTTCTGAGGATCAAACCCAGTGCCTCACGCATGCCAGGCGAGCGCGCTACTACTTGAGTCACATCCCCAGCCCCTAAAATTCTGCTCTTTACATTAGTAAATTTGTCTTATAAAAAACTCCTATTCAATTATTACATTTTGAATTTTGTGAAAAAAAATTTGTAAAAATTTATTTCCTCTCTTGTATAAACTCATATGTTATATTCATATTTGTCTCTTGGCTTGCAATACCCACAATATTTATTATGTAAGTCCTTCACAGAGATAGTTTTTCAACTAATTATATTTACTGGGAATAAAGTTTGCATCTATGGAATGCTTTTAACAGAATATCCTTGGTTTAGGATTGCTGATGACAATTAGGCTTTCAAATACATTAATAGTATAGAATCAGTTTGGAATCTGGATTTATCTCTCCCTCTAGAATGTCATGCAAGCTATTCAACTCTGAAATATAAAAAGAATATATGCTATGACTTCAGCACTCCCCATTGTATGAGGTGACCCTCATTGAGGTCTCACTAAGTAGTCTGGACCACAGAGTTCATACATGATATGAGAAGGAAGGACTAGATGTATTAGACCTCTACAGCAGGATGTACTAGACCTCTTCCTACTTTGCCTGTACCTGTTTATTGCTTATATCTTTTAAATTATTAGTAAAGCTCAATATTGGGTAAGATCTCTAATGTTTGTGAGTCAGATTTGGCAGTTCCTATGTGTAAGCTCACATACTATTAATGTATTTGAAAGCCTAAGAAAAGTTTCCAAAAAAGAATCACTGCAATTTTGGCAAGACATCCAAACATTATTTTTACTCTTGGGATAGAGTGTGATGACTTTCATTTAAAAGAAGCATGGGTGGAACCTGGGTTCGATTATCAGCACCACATAAAAAATAAAAGCATTGTGTTGTGTCCATCTACACCTAAAAAATAAATATAAAAAAAAAATTATCTCTCCCTCTCTCTCTCCCCCCCCCCGCCATTTCTCCTCTTAAAAAAAAAAAGCAAAAGAACCATATTTTCTAATATAATTACTCAGTATAATTTAGCTGTTGTTGTTGTTGTTATTGTTGTTTCTTGTACTGGCACTTAACCCCTGAGCCACATTCCCAGGCCTTTTTTATATTCTATTAGAGACAGGTTCTCACTGAATTGCTTAGTGCCTCATTAAGTTGCTGAGGCTGGCTTTGAACTGATGATCCTCCTGCCTCTCAGCCTCCCTAGCTGCTGGGATTACAGGCATGCGCCACTATGCCCGGCTACTCAGTATAATTTGGTAAGAAGCAAAATGTTATCTTTTGCTCAACAGTCCACATATTTCTTGAAGATTTCTATGCTCAGTCCCTTTTATACTTAAATTTTTTTAATGTGAAGTCTTTTAAAAAAATAATTTATTTATATGTGTTGCTGAGAATGGAATGCAGTGCCTCATACGTGTGAGGCAAGCTCTGTACCACTGAGCCACAACCCCAGCTCATGAAAACACACCAATACATTCAAATACAAAGGATGTTCAGATCCAAGGTACTGCATCATTTGTACATATCAAAATTTAAATCATTTCAGTCCTAATGTTACAATTCTTTAGTTCCTTCTCAAGACTTCACGATTTTCTGTTAAAAACAACAAAAACTGGGCTGGGGATGTGGCTCAAGCGGTAGGGCGCTCACCTGGCATGCATGCGGCTGGGGTTCGATCCTCAGCACCACATACAAACAAAGATGTTGTGTCCACTGATAACTGAAAAATAAATATTAAAATTCTCTCTCTTTCTCTCTCTCTCTCTCTCTTAAAAAAAAAAAAACTTGTAAGTAATTTTTATTGTTCTCCCTGGAATATTTAGGTCTTTGGTCCTGGTGAGTTCTGCTGTTAAATATATAACTTCAGCTGTCTCTGTGATACTATTTATATAAATTTATAATGTTTATAATATTTTAGACTTCTCATTTTTAGACTTTTTGTCTGATAAAAAATTACAAAAATGAAAAAATGTTTACACTATTTGATTTTGTGTCAGCTTTCTGCAAATCATACCATGAACATCCTTGTGATGATAATGAAATTGAACTTCCGAATCAAATGAAACTGTGTACTAATTGGTCAGTGAAAGAAAAAACTCTAGGAAGCATTTAGTAATAGTTTGCCTAAGGGAGTAGTGCCATCGTGAAGCAGAGTTGTAAACATATTTTTGTTTTTGTTTTTGTTTTTAAGGAAAATCATTAACTTTGGGGCCTCATCCAGAGTAGCAACGTCTACATGGGCATTCCCTCCTCCTACAGTTTCAGAAAACCTTTGATAACTAATTGAGAAAATGCAGAAGATCTTGCAGACAGATGAAATTACCAATATCCAAGCTTTTAGAAAAGGAAAGAGGAAAAGGACAGAGACAATGGACTCAGAAAATCCAAATAGTGACATGGAAAAAGGACAGGTTGGTTCTCTCTTACCTTGATTCAATTTTATTAAGTAGCTCAACCACAATTCCATAATTTCTCAGTTCTTTCTTCTGTTGTACTAATTTTTTCTTCCTTTAAATTCTGTATTCAGTCAAGGGAATGTAGTGTCATGTTCTCCTCTCAATCTTAGATAGGAAGAATTAGAAACATAAGATAATCAATAAGCCTGCCTCTGTTTAATTATGGCCAAATATGCCATTGTTAAAACTTTGCTTAAAATTCTGGGAAATTAAAAGTCAGCAAACTGTCAGAAAACATTTTTTTCCTTTAACAAATATATTGGAGAAATTGGAATACCTCTTTCTCCCCGCATCCCACCACCCCCGCCCCCGCCCCCGGCCAGATTGAACTAGAGATTGAATCCAGGGATGCTCTATCACTGAGCTATATCCCTAGAACTTTTTCTTCTTCTTCCCCTTCCTTTCCTTCTCCTCTTTCTTCCTCTTCCCTATTCTTCTCCTCCTCCCTTTCTCCCTCCCCCTTCCCCTCTCCCTTCTCCTCTTCCTCCTATTTTAGGACAGAGTCTCTCTAAATTGCTGAGGCTGTCCTCAAACTTGTGACTCTCCTGCGCCAATGTACCTAGCTGGAATACCTCTTCTTTAAGACACACTATTTACTTTTCTTTTTAGATTTCAATTGGGGGCCCATCCTCATCATCCCATTCCCCTCCTATAGTTTGGACAGTCAATCAATGTGCTTATTCTGTATTTTTTTGTCACTATAATACATGTATTTGTGTATGACTTTGTAATACGTGCAGTGTTTTATATTCACATATTTTTATTTAATTTGTTAAATAAATACTACATTATTATGGTTTAAAATATTTTTAAAGACAAACAATGAAAAATCCTTATGTTCCTGTCTCCTATTCACTCTGTTCATGCCCGAACCCCATCCCCACTACAGTAACCACATGTATTGCTTTCTTGTTTATCCTTCTTGCACTTCTTTGTTCAAATAAAGCAAATATAAATAGATATTCTTATCTCTCTTTGGGTCAAAAAAGAAACATACTATATATACTGCTTTGTACTTTGCTTTTTTACTTAATATATTTTGAAGCTCTTTCCATTAATAGATAGCTCTATTCCACCATCTGTATGCAGCAATCTTTATTAGTCCCCTGTGATGAATGGGGTTCTTTTTAATCTTTTTCTTAATGTGATCTACAATGCACTATATAAACTTATATATATACCATTTAGTAGTACATTGATATCATATTATAAATCTTAATTTGTTTCTGATTTTTCCATCAGAATTGCTTTATAAAAATAATTTTTATATATAAAATTTCAGGTATACAACATGTTATGGGATACATCTAAAAAGTAAAAAGGTTACTAACGAATTAACACTATCATCATTTCATAGAATTATTCATTTTAGTTTGTTTTTAGGGCAAAAGGAGCTAAAATCTGCTCATTTAGCATGAAACTCAAATATAGTAGTTTTGTTACCTATAGTCCTCTTGTTATACATTAGATTTCTAGACTTGTTCAGATTTGTATCGTCTGGTCTAATCTCCTAATTTCGTAACCTCTATCCTGCCTACCACTGAGGGGACCACTGCTTCTTCTCTGTCACTGTATAATTGGTTTTGTTTGCTTGTTTGTTTTGTTTTAGACTGCAGATGTAAGCAATACCATGTAGTATTTTTTTATTTCTGCATCTGGCTTATTTCACTTAACATAATGTCCTTCAGGCTCGTATACGTTGTGGCAAATAGCAAGATCTCATTTTWAAAAAAAAATTTTTAGATGTTGATGGACCTTTATTTCATTCAGTTATTTATATGTGGTACTGAGAATTGAACCCAATGCCTCACACATGCTAGGTATGCACTCTACCACTGAGCCACAACCCCAGCCCCCCATCTCATTATTTTTAAAGGCTGAATTGTATACATATACATATACACTGTGTACATACATATATACATGCATATACATATATACATGCATTATGTATATAAATTATGGCACATACTTAAGTATGGTACATGTATGTAAATAAACTATGGATATATATATACAAATACACATGTGTATATATGTATGTGCCATATATTAACATATATATACATACTTTATCCATTCATCCATTGATGAACACTTAGGTTCTTTTCATAGCACTATTCTTAGCACCTATCTATATTGCTACATGTACATCTCATCCATTGCATCTAACTGCTGCATGGTACCATTTTTTATTTATCTTTTTCTCCAATGATGACCTCTTAAATTTCCTCTAACATCAATAAAATAATCCTCATACATGTCCCTTTAAGAGACAGTGTGGGGCTGGGGTTGTGGCTCAGTGGTAGAGCACTTGCCTAGTACGTGTGAGGCACTGGGTTAGATTCTTATCACCACATATAAGTAAATAAATGAAATAAAAGTCCATCACCAAGTTAAAAAAATGTTTTTAAAAGTGACTGTGAAAATTTCTATGGTGTAAATACATAGGAGGATGATTTATGGTTTACATATGTATTTCTAGTTTATTTGACTAAATATTACAAAATTGCTTTTCAGAATGTTCACATCAGTCTAGATGTCCAGCAGTAATGCATAATGGGTTCCTATATTTATATTTCCCTACTAACATTTAGCATTGATATCCATTTTTCTAATTTTTACCAAATCAATCAGTGAAAATATTGTTATAATTTGCTAGTGCAGATTTGGGGGGACTCAGGGTTGCTTGAGGGGTAAAATAGTCACTTGCTCTTATAAGCCAGTTGTGTGGTTTTGTCAGCAATTTTTTTCCCAAAAACCATAGCTTTCCAAACTACATATTTCTATTTGATTCCATTGCAAATCACTATAGCCAGAGCTCTTATTTGATCATAGATTTTAGGCCTGAAAAATCTCTTCTTTTAAGGCATCTTTTCTCGTCTTTTCTTTCCAATTTATAACAGTTACCTCACAGCTATCTGAAACAAACAAACAAAAAATCTTGAAGGTAACACCTTGAATTTAAAGCTTTTTACTGGACGGGATACCACTGTTTGCCAGAGAACATATAAAGACAAGCTCCTGAGAAAGCCTTGAGGTTACAGTCTTACCTCCTGCTATTTAGATATGGAAGTAAAAATTTTCCCCAAACCCTTGAAGATTTAACAATGCCGAACTCAGTTAATTTAGACTATCTGCTGCACTCAAAGAGTTTTTTTTGTGTACTTACAAGCTAGCTAGTGAAGTATCTGAAACACACCACAGCTCTTTTTCCAGGCTCTCTAGGCATGTGGTCTGCCTTCAAAAGTATTCCAGATGACCATTTTACCAAAAATGTCACCAAGGTCTAACAAAGTCAGTGGCTTTCCAGCATGCCACACCCTCACTCTTTTTGCCCAGCACTTGACCTTTAATGATTTTAAACATATTTCAAGTTATAGGTATTCCTACTTGTGTGTACCCATTATGGATTAGTTGTGATATGTGTTACAAAGACTGTAACAAAGACCCCAATAACAATGGCTTATATAAAATAGAAGTTCATTATTATACAATAGTGAGAGCAGTCTGGGGCTGAAAAGGCAGCTCCACAATAATGAAAATCTCTCTTACCTTGTTTATCTACCTTCCTCAACTTGCAGCCTCTGGCTCTGCATCTAATATGACTACTCTCACTTTCAGATCCTCTTTTTCTCTCAGAAGAAAGAGAATCAGCAGGGGAAGACATGCTCGTTTTCTTAGGGTTATGGACCGGTAGTGGCGCACATAGTTTCTGCTTCAATTCTATTGGCAGGAGCATAAACAGCTGCAGTGAGTCGTACTGCATGTGAGTCCGGGAAATGAAGTCTTTAGCTAACAGTCAGGTAGAACCCTGTTACCAGAGAAAAAATGGGACAAAAGATACATATAGCTAGTAGTTTCTACCACTGTCCATTTTTCTGTTGGGTTTTTGTCTTTTCTTTTGGGTTTCTTGGTCTATTCTGGTAGGTCTTTTATCCCACTCTTAATATAAATACTTTATCTATTACAGAAATTAGCCTACTGTGATTTAGGTTTGAGATATTAAAAATATCTTCTCCAAGTTTCTATTTSTGTATTAACTGTTATCTTCTTCCTTCCATTGGTAATTACAAATGGATTTACTTTGACCAGATTCCTTTTTTTTCTAATACTTGCTGGCGAGAACAAGACCATACATTCTATTTTTTTCCAATTATCATGCATAGAATTAGGGTCTCAATAAGCATCCTTCAATTTTAAAAAAATATTTCATTTATATTTAATTAAATACATCACTTTTTCCCTTAGGATTTATATATCTTGTGTGAGTATATTAGCTATTTGCCCAYATAGAATAGTAATTTACATTATTACTATTACATATATATCCACTACTGTTATATATACATTATAGGTACATATACACATGCAAGCATTTGTATAACAATAAAATATATATACATATACTGATATTTGTTTATAAAATAAAGATTGAATATACATATCATAAATCATACAAAAGTGCAAATGAATTTTTCTCTAACTGATCTCATCTGGCTTTTAATTCTCCATTCCTGAATCATCATCATCATCATCACCATCATCCTACAATTTGTGTTCCAGTCTTTTTTTAAAAGTCCCTTTTAGTCATTATCTCAATCACTTCAGGATTTAAGCTTCAATCAATCTTATATTTTTGACCTCTTCTGCTTTCTACTTTTTTTCTTAAAGACATGATTCAAGTTTTCAGAAGTCTTATATAACATGTACACTCGGTCTTCTATTAAGATTCTTACTTTCCTCTCTGGTTCCTAGGTGTCGTTAAGTGTTGCTGTTGAGCTAGTTCTTCCAGGTCCACTGGGGATMTTATTGGCACCTGCTGCTGAAGTTTGCCATCCTGGTACCCACTACCACCTTCCATGAGATTCTGGCACCATGTGGCCTCTGATCTACACTCTAAGCTATTTGTTTCATTAGTTTCCCTAGCACTTTCCTATCTCCTGACCAGGACGTAAGGATCCTTTGGATTCTCTAGCTGCTTTGCATTCATACCAGGGAGTCTGGGGTACTATCTCTGCTCCACTTGTCTGAAAAACAAATTGACTATTTCTGATCTGTGGGCCCAGAAAATCACCATGATACCCTGAAGTTACACTGGACATGGAGCCTCTTCAAGGAGCTTAGACTGCACAAAGAAGCAAGGAGCTATCCCTGGTGCTCTGGGATTGCCCCCGTTATCTGATTGTTTATATGATGTGCCCCAACTTCTTAAATCCCCTAAAGGGCAGGGACAGTAGAGTACAGACATTTGAACCTAATTCCCTGCCATTTCAATTCTTTATTTCCCAGCCTCTTCCAGCACCAGAATGTCTTTTTCTTCTCTGCAGCAGGAACTTTCTTTATGGTATAACCTTTATTTCTATTACTCTCCTTTTTTTTTTTTTTTAAGCTTTAGGCTTCTGGGTTTTGATATTTACAAATTCCAGTTAGTACTACAATTCTCCAGCTTGGTAGAGAAAAAAAAAAGGTTAAGTACCAACACAGCTTGGATTTTACAACTCCAGTGTCTWCAAATTATGTCTTGTTATTGACATTATAAACTATTTTTAAAATAAAAAGGTAAATGTGAATGTTTCCTTCTAGGCCAATCTGCTCTCTCTTTTCTCTGGTGCAATAAGCCCCAAATTGGTTTCATGCCATAGTCTTGACAGCGAGGCTATGAATGGAGATTAGGGAAAGAAATGCAGAATGGGGGTGAACTAAAAAGAAGGAAAATATATTGACTTCCAGCACAATAAGATTATTGGATGTCTATTATGTGCAATGCAGTATGCTAGGTTTTACTCTAAATATTGTCCTAGGTTATTTTATTTTTTAATGTTGAAATTAATGAGAACTGGGGATGTATCTCAGTGATAGAGCACTTGCCTGGCATGTACAGGCCCTTGGCTCCATTCCCAGAACATGCAATAATAACAACAAAAGAAAAAGAATAAGAATAATGAACTCCAATAAAACTGCTGCCCATCTTAATACCTAAAATATTACCTTATCATAACTTATGACTATTTATATACTCCTCTCCTACCCCTGCCTGTATCAATCCAGATATAATCATAGTCAATCTCATGTATAATTTACTTGCTTGTAAGACTTATTTTTTACACTGCTGGGGATTGGGCCTCATTCATGCTGACAAGTGCTCTATCACTAAGTTGTGTCCCTAGCCCACTTTTTTGAAAATTTTCTTTTTTTAATAAATTTTTATTTGTTCTTTTTAGATAACATGACAGTAGAGTGTATTTTGATACATTATACATATGTGTAATATAACTTACTCTAATTAGGATCCCATTCTTGTGGTCGTATATGATGTGGAATTTCACAGGTGATATATTCCTATATGAACATAGGAAAGTTATGTCTGATTCATTCTACTGTCTTTCCTATTCCCATCCCTGCTCCCTTTCCTTCATTCCCCTTTGTCTAATTCAATGAMCTTCTATTCTACCCCACTCCTACTTACTGTGTGTTAGTATCCACATATCAGAGAGAACATTTGGCCTTCTGTTTTTTTGGATTGCACTTAGCATGATAATCTCTAGCTCCATCCATTTACCAGAAAAAGTCATAAAGTCATTCTTTTTTACACCTAGCCCACTTTTAAAAAATTTATAAAACTGAAATACATGCACACATATTGTCTCATAACACACAAATATTTATTCAATAATATGTATAATATATGTGCTAAAATATATCATTAGGTTTATTTATTTTATTTGAGATGGGATCTCACTATTTCCCAGTGGCCTTCATCTCCTGGGCTCAAGCAGTCCTCTTGCCTCAGCCTCCCAGAAAATAGGAGTACAGGCATATGCTACCATACCCAGCTTATTTATTCTTTAACTTTATAGGCTGCCCCTCCCAACCCCACTATTAATCAGCCTCTTTATATCAGAGAAAACATTCAGCATTTATTTTGGGGGGATTGGCTAACTTCACTTAGTATTCTATTCTCCAACTCCATCCATTTACCTGTAAATGCCATGATTTTATTCTCTTTTATTGCTCAGTAATATTCCATTGTGTATAATACCACATTTTTTAATCCATTAATCTACTGAAAGTTATCTAGGTTGGTTCCACGATTTAGTTATTGTGAATTGTGCTGCTATAAACATTGATGTGGCTGTGTCCCTGTAATATGTTATTTTTAAGTCCTTTGGTATAGACCAAAGAGAGGGATAGTTGGTTAAATGGTGGTTTTCCAGGGAATCTCCATACTGCTTTCCATATTGACTGCATCAATTTGCAGTCCGACCAGCAATCCTTTTCCCCCACATACTCACCAGCACTTATTGTTGTTTGTATTCTTAATAGCTATCATTCTGACTGAAGTGAGATGAAATCTTAGAGTATATTTTCTTGTACAACTTAAATTTTCACTTTTAATGTTTAAATTCTTAATCCATCTGAAGTGGGGTGTGTGTGTGAGTGTGTGTGTGTGTGTGTGTGTGTGTGTGTGTGTGTACACCAAGGTAGGAATGCATTTTCTTTACCTTTTCTCTTAAAGGTCAGCCAGTATTTCCAGCATCATGTATTGAGCAAGTCCTATTTTCTTGGGTGTTTTAGTCAGCTTTTTTCATCGCTGTTATTTAAAGACCCAACCAGCACAACTGTAGAGGAACTTTGGGGGCTCACAGTATCAGAGGTCACAATCAGAGACAGCAGACTCCATTCCTCTGGCTCAAGGTGAGGCTGAACATCATGGTGAAAGACTGTGGCAGAGGGAAGTGGTTCATATGATGATCAGAAAACAGAAAGGGGTCTCCGCTCACCAGATACAAGATATATACCCTAAAGCCACACCCCTAATGGCACCTCATCTGGCCACACTCTATCCACCTTCAGTTATCCACCCAGTTAATCACATCAGAGGATTAATCCACTGATTGGGTCAATGCTCTGGTAACCCAATCATTCTTCTCTGAACCTTCTTGCATTGTCTCACATATGAGCTTTTGCGGGACACCTCTTGCGGGACACCTCTTATCCAAACCGTAACAACGGGTGAGTTGCTATGCCACTCTGTCCTATAAGAAGTTTCTCATGCGCATGCATCTATTTTGGGCCTCTCTATTTTTGGTCATGCTATCTGTTTCTATACCAATGCCATGCTGTTTTAATTGCTCTATATTTTTAGTAAGCCCTTGCATTTGTAAAGAAAGATCCTGTTTCATTTCATATACTTCTTCAGGATTTCTTTGGATATTCTTAGGCTTTTGTTCTTTTAGATGAATTTCAGAATCAATTTATTAAGTTCCAGGTTTTTAAAATTTTTATTGAAATTGCATTAACTTTAAAGTTCAATTTAGGGATAATTACTACTTTTTAAATGAAATATTTTATCTCTGAACATGATAACTGTCTACATTGACATCATCTTTTAGTACAGCTTGTTTACTTTCTTCATAGAGATCTTTCACTCTTTTGCTATACATTAATGACACTTATTCTCAAAACAAGAATTAAACATAAATGTGAAATATTTAGGCTATATGGATTGGAAACTGTCAAAAGGTACTATTTATGTGGTACTGAGGATCAAGCCCAGGACCTCACACATGCTAGGCAAGCACTCTACCACTGAGCCATAACCCCAGCCCCTTCTTGGAGATATTTTTAAAAACATTTTATGGAAGTACAATATACATATAGAAGGTTGCACATGTCAGAAATGTGCAGCTTAATGAATTATCACAAACTAAACACATCCATGCCAGAAATTAATTAATTATCACAAACAACACATCCATGCCAGAAATGCACCTCAGAGATCTCCTCATAATCCTCTCTGCTACTTTCCATCACTGATCCCCACAGTAACTACTGTCCTGACTTAATAAATAGTGTTCTTATAGCACTACAGTGCTAATTGTAGCTGGTATGTAGAAGCAGTAACTATTGTATATCCTGCCATCTTGCTAGATTTTCCTATTTTATTGCATGATTTTTATCTATGTATTCACAGATGAAGGAAGTGAGGTTCAGATTGTGAAGTATTTGGCTCAAAACAGGCCACATCTCAGAGCAGACCTGGTGCTCTTATTGGTTATAGTCTGTTATATGACTATTCTACTTTGTATTTTTCACGGAAATGACACAGAAAGTTAGAATCCTGATTTCCACGCTGTTGGAGGCACTGTTTTCCCCTCATCCTGAGTTCCTCTGAATGGTGGGGTTTCAAGCTGCTGGGCTGCATGGGTTGCAGGAAGTGCCTGTGGGAACAGGAGTGTATAGTCTTGAATGAACCCCTTCAGAATACAGAACATAGGATAAACCGTTAAAGGTGCTGTGAAACTTCTCTTCTTGTGCCTGCCTTGCATTTTAGAGAGATCCATATTCGGGAAATGCCTTTCTGCCTGGGGAGAGCTCCAGTGAGGATGAAGCGCCCTTAGCAGAATTATCAAAGGAGGAATTATGTGCCAAGATAAAAAACCTGAAAGAAAAACTAACAAACACCCGGAAAGAAAACAGCCGGCTTCGACAGTCTTTGGTCATGCTACAAGGTAAACTTTGAGAAAATTGGCATTTGAGATAAAAGGGAAAATTGTATAATCAGTGAAAAGAATTGGAAATGAAAAAGAGCCAGGCCCAATGGTTTATGCCTGTAATCCCAGTTGCTTGGGAAGCTGAGGCAGGAGGATGACAAGTTCAAAGCCAGCCCCTGCAATTTAGTGAGGTGCTAAGCAACTCAACCTTATTAGAGACCCCATCTCTAAATAAAAAATAAAAAGGGCTGGGGATGTGACTCAGTGGTTAAGTGCCCCCTGGTTCAATTCCCATACAAGAATAAAAAAAAAAGAATGAAAAAGAACCAGTACCTTAGAGAGCTTAAAAATCACACTTTAAGAAAATCACCATTACAAAATTTAAATATGGCAGCACTCTTTTGAAGTATCTAGTTTATTGTTCAAAAATTTTAGATTTTTCCTACAGAATACCAAATATTATATTCATTTAACAATGTTCAACACATTTAATGTTCAACAAGTATTTATTGAGCATTTACTGTCAGCCACTCACATCCTAGGCCCTAGAGAGAAAACATTAGTCAGAGAGAGTAAATATGTTGGGGTGCTCATGATGCACATATCTCAGATGCATTTGCTAGAGAATGCCCTAGAAAATGAGGCTTGGTGTGATCTATTATGGAAACCACTGGAATTAATGGTTTCATATTAGTTTTTCTATTCAGAACCTTGGTTTGGGAAAATAATTTCATTTCACTGGAGACACATAAAGGAAAAAGAGGAGCCTAGGCAAATTAAAAACCACTTGGCTTTTTGTAGGATCCTATGTTGTATCTGAGAGTCTGTTTTTCAAAAAGTATAGTTTCCATGGGGCATGGTGGCACACTCCTTTAATCCCCAGCTACTCAGGAGGCTGAGGAAGGAAGATGTCAAGTTCAAAGTTTAGTGTTGCTTACTACAACCTGCCTCAAAAAAAGGAAAAAAAAATAGTGATAGGGATGTAGTTCAGAGGTAAAATGCCCTTGGGTTCAATCCCAGGACAAAAAAAAAAAAAAAAAAAAAAAAACAGAGAGAGATGGTTTCCATGGGTAAGCACTATGCGCTTCTGAATATTTAACAATTAATCCAATGCTGGGCAGCATTGTGTTATAAACCAGTAAACGCTCCAAACATTATGAAAATAAATAGATACCTCCAGCTGCTGTGTATAGAATGGGTACAAGTGGTATAAGAAAGACACTTAAGAAGAGTCACCAGAAAGCTATTATAGTCATCCAGACTAACCTAGTAGCAGCCTACTGTAGCGCAATGGTGTGGGAAAAAAAGAAGACAGTTTCATGATATATTTGGAGACAAAAATGACAGAATATGGTGATGAATGAGATTGGAGATTGAGAGAAGAAAGTAATAGGTTACAGGTTTTCCTCAGAATGTTTGTTAAATTTAAGGCTTAGATTTTAGTAGAAATAGCTACATGTGAATGGAAATGTGTTTATTCCATTAACAAACCATTTTATTTTAATTAAAAAAATTGGGGGGGACTGGGGTGGAGTGCTTGCCTTGCATGTGCAAGGCRCTGGGTTCCATCCTCAGCACCACATAAAAATAAATAAACAAAATAAAGGTATTGTGTCCATCTATAGCTAAAAAAAGATATTTAAAAAATTTGTAGTTGTAGATGGACAGCATGCCTTTTATTTATTTATTAAACTTTTTTTTAGTTGTCAATGGATTGTTATTTATTTATATGTGGTGCTGAGAATTGAAGCCAGTACTTCATACATGCCAGGCAAGTGCTCTGCCACTGAGCCACAACCTCAGCCCCTATTTATTTATTTATTATGTGGTGCTGAGGATGGAACCCAGCGCCTCACATGTGCTAGGCAAGCACTCTGCCACTGAGCTATAATCCCAGCCCCTCTTGAAATTTCTTCACTTTGAATATTGCATTTTTGCGACTTTCTCTTGTTGAAGTTTTTGTGCTTTTCAAAGAAGAGATAATCCCCTAAATTCTGTCACAGAATATAGAATGAGATAAAAGCTACTTTATAAAGTTAGAAGAACTGCTTAAGAGCATCAATTTTGGAGTTATGCACGTTGGTTTGAATCTCAACTCTGCTTTACTAGCTTTATGACTTTAGCCATGACACTTTACTGTGACCTCAGCCCCAGCTTCAGTTCCTCTTTTAGGAAAAGGGGACGATATATGATTTCCTTGTTGCTAGGAGGATTAAATGAGATGATTTGGAGAACTGCTTTACTCAGCACTTGGCACAAGACTCGGTAATGGTAGTTATTATTTTTAATATCGAGGTTTTTATTAACAACAGAACCTGAAAAAGAAAATTAAGATCAATTCTTGTTATAAATATTTGTGAGAAAATTTTAATTCATGAGTACCAAATCAGGCTCAATAACAGATGAGAAAGAATCGTTTACTATAACCAGTTCCCTCTCTCCCACACTCCCAGATTGCTATTTCTTTTTCTCCTCCCTGCCAACTCTCTACACCTCCTCCCTTATTCTCACTTTCATTTGATGACTTTGCTTCCTACTTCATTGAGAAATAGGAGAATATGAGGAGACCATCATCTCCCAGCACCCGTCCTTTTATGCTCCATCCTTTCTTGTTATTCATGAATGAGCCATCTTTGTAGGCAACCAAAGACAATTTCTCCACCAGTGTATGAGTGCATTGCCCTGAGCTTCTGTCCCTCTGTCCTGCAAAAATCAAGTCTTCCTTCTCTAATGGATCATTCCTACTATTATTTGACATACTAATATTTCTCCCATTTAAAGCAAAAAAACAAAGCACCTTGCTCGGCACAGTTGCACAYACCTGTAATCCCAGCTATTCAGGATGCTGAGGCAGGAGGATCGTAAGTTCAAGCCAGCCTTCTGGGCAATTTAGCAAGACACTGTCTCAAAATAAAAAATAAATAAATAAAAGGGTCTGGGATGTAGCTGAATGGTAAAGCTTGTCCAGCAGGTGCTAGCTAGTTCCTGGGTTCAATCCCTGGCACTTAAAAAAATAATAATTCATTAAAAAATAAAAATAAACTCTATTTTAGGCCATTTGTTTATCTACCTTCTGACTTATTTCTCTCTTTTCTTTTATAGAAAAACTTCTTAAGAAGTTTGGCTAGCCATGTTGTCTTCTTCCTCTCTTTTGTTATTTCGGAATCCCATTTAAATCAGACTCTCAATTCCATTATATTTCTCTTCTCTGATCAACTATGTCCTTCGTGTATTCATTTGTTAGGGCTGCCTCAGAACAGATGGCTAAAACAAAAGAAATGTATTTTCCTACAGTTTTGAAAGCTAGAATTCCAAAACCAAGTTTCCAGCAGGACCATGCTCCCCTTGAAGGCACCATTCATATCGATTCCCGCTAAGGTCACCATACATATTGATTCCATCTGTATAAACCCTATTTCAAATAAAGTCATATTCTGAGATATGGAGGTGAGGACTCCAACATACCTTTTCAAGGGAGACACAGTTCAATCTATAACATTCTACATGGCCAACCCAGTGGTCATTTCTCAACTGCCATCTTTAGCGCTTTGACACAATTGGGCAACTCTCTTTCCTTGAAAAGGTTTCTTCATTTGGCTTCCAAGATGCCAMGGTTTTCCTTCTGCATTCCTAGTATTTCCACCTTAGACTATTGACTGGTTCATCATCCTACCCACTAAATATTTGATGACATACCGGTCTCAGTCCTTAGATTTCTTTCCTTTTCATCTGCATTCACTCCCTATGTGATCCTATCCCATCATGTGGTGTTAAAATTCATCTACAAGCTAGGATTCTCAGATTTCTGTCTCCTGCCTGGACCTCTCCAGCTCGTTGTCTAACTGCCTACTTGCCGTGACTGATAACCATCTCAGACTAATGCATCTCATAGCAYATTCCTGACCTTCAGCCTCTTTCTCTTTCTTCCTCCTCTTGGTCAATGCTAACTCCACTGTTTCAGTTCCTCAAGCCCAAAACCATGATGTAATCCTCTATTTCTATGTCTTTTACATCTCAATTCAGTTCATCAACAAATCTTACTGGTTTTGCCTTCAATATATGTCTGGAGCTCAATCCTTTTACCACCACTGCTGTTGGCAGTCTGGTCTGAAGCACCATTATCTCTCATTCAGATTATTATTATTTTGATGTCCCTACTTCTGCTCTTGCTCCTGGGCACTGTATCCTCAACCCAGCAGTAAGAATAAAACTGTAAATTATAGATCTGTTTGTGTCACTCCTTTGCTTAAAATCCTCCAGCGAATTACCTCCTTACTCAAGGTAAGAACTAGAGTCCTTTTTATGATCTTGGAATCATAACCATGATCTGGTTATCTCCCTTCCCTTCCTTCTCTGGCTTTGCATTCTGCTGCTCTTCTCTCTTGCTGTCCTCAGGACACACTGGCCCACTTGYTTTCCCTTTAAAGACATCAGACATGATCTTAACTTCAAGTGTCTTTATACTTGCTCTTTCCTATTGCCTAGAASATTCTTTCCATGTATCAACATGGCTTGAACCCTCACTCACTTTAGGCCTTCACTCCAAATTCATATTTTCCTTGACTCCCACCATCTAAAATTTCAACCTCTCTTTTCCCAATGTTTTTCTTTTCTTTTTAATTCTTTAGTTGTAGATGAACACAATATCTTTATTTTTTAATTTATTTTTATGTGGTGCTGAGGATTGAACCCAGTGCCTCACACAAACTAGGCAAGCACTCTACCACTGAGCTACAACCCTAGCCCCTTCCAGTGTTTTTTAATCCTCCTCTCCTGCTTTGTTTCCCAGGGCACTTTTAAGCCTATATAACCTATTACATATTTAATATTGTCTCTCTAGCCCCCTCTACTGCCTGTAATGTAAACTTATAAACAAAGTAGTAAAGTTGTTCTTGGCTGGACTTCAGGCAACTGGAAAAGTCAGAGGGCCTACAGATGCTCCAGTGTTCATTCATGTATTTATTCATCAATAAATATTATAAAATCCTTACTATGTTTAGGTCCTGTGCACTACCTGG